GCAGGAATATATAATTTGAAACTAACCACTGGGCCCGGCATGCCTTGTGGTCCTGGAGGTCCTCGGATCCCTTGTACTCCTCTTGAGCCCTGATGTAAAAGAGCCATTGAAAAAAAGCCAGTTCAATATTGACTTTCAATGAAGAATAGATTTCTGCAGTGACCAGATTTCAAGTGCCCGTTTCACAAGATTTAATGCACAGGTGAACCTTCTAGCTCTTTGATTGTACGGATGTGACTGTGTGAAGGAGCTGATCTGGTCACTGCCTGAAGGCCACGTTCAGAGAGCCACTGCAGTGTCTAAGATACCAAGGGAGACATAAGCAACCCAGTATCAATTAGGTACACTTACTTCAGAGGCCTGTATCTTAAAGCTTATCTTAAAAGTTAAGAGCATCTTGGATGCATCTAAGAGTATCTTAAAACTGAAAACTACTGTGAGCAGTCTACTGGCAGAATTCTCTTCAAAATTACTCCATCAAGCAGCTTGTTAACACAAAGCCTTCCTCTTCAGTTTTGTCGATCAGTATATCACTTTCATCATTTTAATCACCCAGGAAATACAGTACATTCAAAAATGCAATAGATTTTATGTGCTTAATGGTAGCATTTCCTAATTAATTTTTAAGATATCTGCCTAAGAATATCTTTTAAGTTAGAGGGGTGTTGGTTAATTTACTTACTTCTGCTATTCCCTTACCTCTTCATTTCACTGGAAGCTGCACCCACATAAACCACAAGATAAAATTGCCTGATTTAATTTCTCAGCGTTACAGAGATTTGCCAAGGAAGGATCTTACTCATCATATTCATTAGTTGAATTTAAAAAGACATTCCAAAAGAAGAACAAAAGATAAGACTGACAACTCGTCTTCTCCATAGCTAACATAAAAACAACTCAGAAGTTTTTTTAGTTACCTGTGGGCCTGGAAGACCAGAGTCTCCTGGAAAGCCTGCTTCCCCCAGATCTCCTTGCTCACCCTGCCAGAACAAAAACAACAAAAAAACCAACATTCATACCAAACAAATTAACACCTGTCATATCTACATCAACAGAAAATAATCTCATATATTCAATGCTCCCAAACAGCTTTCAAGAAGCTTTGAATTCCTGTTGAAGAAAACTCAATGAAAAAATAGAAGAGCTGAGTAGCGTTTTTTAGTTTCTTAGGGTGCGTGATGAATGTTAAAACTGCAGTACACAAGGTTAGTTCCTTCTGCTTTGCATTTTGCTAAGTGCATTTTACACCATGGTCTCAACAATATTCCTTTATTATGCCTGTCCTTGTCCACTGTAGAGACCATGAAAAGTCAAATCCAAGGCCACACCAAGTAACCAGAGTGAAAGATGGGGAGTATAAAGACATTTAATTCTAGGATGAACTGTGAAAGCACGGTTCCCCCTCAGAGTAGTTGTATCACTTAGACTCTTCCAATTCTCTCCCCCAGCCCACCAGGGGGGGACAGTGGCTGTGTGGTGCTTGGTTGCTGGCTGGGGCTGAACCATGACAATAGGTAGCAGCAGTGTCAGCCACTCACCTTTACACCTGGAGGGCCTCTTCGACCTGCTGCACCCTAGGGAGAAGTGGCACGAGATTACATCCAGACCACTGAGGAGTATGTGAAACAGCAGTTTGGCATAAAATATATTACACACACAATCAAAACATTACAGCTTATAGAAAACAGATTATTTCCAAACAAAGGCTTATGGCAAAAATAAGAAAAGAGTGGATTTGGAACAGAAACTCATACACAGTAGGACTTATTTAAAAAAAAAAAGCTTTAGACACTTAATGAGTGTAGAGGCAAAGCATCTTAAAATTCTGGAAAACATCTTCCTGGTCAGCAGCACCTTGGCTGATAAAGAGAACAAGAGCCCTTTTCACTTCCCCTAATCTAAGAGGTCTGCACTGCTGCCTGCTGCACACTGCTCAGCAGCACTAGTGAAACATACTGTTAAACCTCATGGAACTGGAGGCCTCTTGGACATTTATGCAGCTTGACTAAGAAGCAAGCATCATTGCAGAATTTGGCATTAGGCATCTTTCTGACAGACTAGAAGAGATGCCTTTTTCAGTTCCAGTTGCCAGTGGATTAAAAAGAGCAACTCAACTGCCCGTGAATTTATACATAAATTGAAAAGGCATACAGAACTTGCAGTCACAGGGAAAAAGAAGGGATAGGTTTATCTATGGAGAAATGATAAAGCAATTAAGGCTCACGGAAAAGGTTTCATTGAGTTTTAGACTTCACATATATCAGACTTGAAATTAACAGGACAGCAAATTCCCAATTAAATAAACCCACAAAACAAATAAAACACATTGTGATACACATGTGCTTCACTATGAAAATTTTAGAAGATTTTTATTCCCTCTAATTGCAGGAGTTTTAAGTGTGGGACAAAAGGAAGAAGAAAAAAAATTGTTTTCTCAATGGGAACCCCATCATATGTTGTATCAGTTACTGCATCAACTACTGTTCTTACATCAGGACCAGCATCACCCTGCTCCCCTTGGAGTCCTTGTGGTCCTGGGTCTCCCTGCAAAACAAAGTAATGCTCTTCAAACACTTTTTCTTGTACTCATATATTCTTCTTTATACATTTGTTCTTTGTTTTGTCTTCTAAGAATTTTCATTGCAATCAGTTGTATCATGGTGAACACTGATTTTTATTTTTGTCTTCTGCAAAAAATTTACCATCCAAAATAATAAACCAAGAGATGATGTTTGCTTTGTGTTTCCAATGCATCAGTTACTAACAGCTGACACTTGATGCAGGCTTCTGTGAAATATTTTTTGTCAACTTAAGCCTTTCAGTTTGACTTATTAAGATGAGAAAGTTTGATGAGGTTTGCTCCCAAACAGTCAAAAACCCCACAATTACTCTCCCAAGGATGACCTTTACTTTTTTACTGCTTTCAGCACACTCTACACAGACATACCGGTGCACACACATCTCAACATGTGCATACAACACTACTTGCTTAGATAGAATCAAACCTCTAAAACATTTTTCTTAAATGTTTCTAGTTCTCACCCTTTTGAGCTTTCACCCACCACCCTTTATATATTATTGTCCAACTACTTATCCTTGCTTATTCTTTCCAAAAAAAGTGTGATGGTAAAATGTGTTGTGCTTTCCTGTTACGTTTCTTTTCTTGCAGTAAAAGTTTAGACATCACTACATAAGCTCATATTCCAGCTCATATATTTTAGGTACAGGTCAAATCGGAGTTTATGCACCACCCCGAGGAAATAGATGTTCCATAGTAAAATGAGTACAGCCTGTTCGTGCCCAATGCATTTTTCCCAGTGTGGTTTTTAACACAGAATTATAAAACAGTTAAGGTTGGAGGGGACTTCACAGATCATCAGGTTCCAACCTCCCTGCTATGAGCTGGGACACATCACACTAGACTAGACTGCACAAAGCCTCATCCAACCTGGCCTTGAACAGCTCCAGGGAGGGACCTTCCACAACCTCCCTAGGCAACATATTCCAATGACTTACTAATCTCACGGTGAAGAATTTTTTCCTAATATCTAACCTAAATCTACCTTCTTTCACTTTAAAACCATTACCCCTTGCAGGGTACCCTTCACTACCCTCTCTGGTGAAAAGCTCTTCCCCAGCTTTCATGTAGGCCCCCTTCAAGTATTGGAAGGCCACTATAAGATCTCCCTGAAGCCTTCTCATCTCCAGGCTGAACAGCCCCACCTCTCTCAGTCTGACTTCATAGCAGAGGTGTTCCAGGCCTCTGATCACCTTCGTGGCCCTTCTCTGGACCCTTTCCAACAGATCCATGTATTTCTTGTACTGAGGGCTCCAGAGTTGTAAGCAGCATTCCAGGTACAGTCTCACCAGAGCTGAGTAGAGGGACAGTATCTTTACAATACATTAAAAGAAGCTTCTCAGGTTGGTGATGTATATTTGTGGTAGAATAATATATATATATATATACTAAATACATATCTTTTCTTAGCTCTTATTATGAGAATATTTCCATAGTCTTTGTTAACCTTTTAAACTTTTAAAAAAATTTTTACGGTATCAAACACTTCTCAAAGCTTTCTGTGTTGCAGATACACACTGAAGGCGTGTAAAAGAGCTCCTTAGTCACTGGACAGCCAATAAAACATAGCAATTATGCAAACACACTCTCCATAATCCTTGCTTACCTGCTGTGACAGGTTTCCCTTTTCACCCTTAGGACCAGGAACATTACTGCTAGTCCCAGGATCTCCCTGGAAAAGTTAAGCAGAAAGCTCAGTATTTTCTGTGACCATATGAGATTTTTCATTGCAGCCAACAAGAAATCCAGAGGCTATTTTAAATGAAGATGCTTGTAAAAACACTATATAGGAAGTTGTGCAAAGTCCACAATTTATTTTTTTCTTCCCAAAGAGATGAAAAGAAATATCAAAGATGGGCAACAAATTAAACCCTGAAAATGTAAAGCTGTTCTGGTTGTTTGGTTATAGTTAACTGAGTTAAGTTCATAACCAGTTAGTGAGTTTCAGATGGGGTTACACTAGAATTGAGTTCCATTTAGCCACTTAATGCCACAGATGAAATCCTGATCTTTCAGAGGCAAGTTACCATGACACCCCATTTCTTTTATAAGCATTGGAAGACAGGAATCAACACTGTATTTGACTGTAACAAAAGTCTCTGAAGTATCTGTAAGAAGGCTTAAAGCTGTGATACAAGAGGTGTGGTGTCTCCACTGAAGTTTTAGTCCTTAGAAACTGCACATATATATGGCTCTGGAGCATGCAAGGGAAAAAGTGTCAGCGTGAAGAATTAACTTGTCTTTCCATCATGATAAATTGCTACCAATAGTCAGTGGACAGGGTTTTCAAGTGATCCAGAAATTCCTCTGCAGGGTGGGGACCACCAGAGAGAACTAAAGTAGCTCCACAAAGAATTATGTTGCCCATGGCAAAAACAAATAAATAAAGCAAAAATGCTAGGAACAAGCAGGAAACCTGAGGCTTAAACACCTGCTTCCAAGCAGCATATCAAAACACATCAGTCCCTCTGCAGCTGAAGAGTTCAGGACTCCTGGAATATGCCATACTTCTTGCAGAGTACTGCACCATCTAGGGTTATGAAAAAATCTTCATATCAAATATACGTCACACAGCTCCAACACAGAATCCAGGTACTAATCAGTGCAACCTAAGAAAAATGAAGGAATAGACTTACATGATCTCCTCTTAGACCAGATTCTCCTCGTTCCCCTGGTTCTCCTCTGGGGCCTTTTCTGCCCTAAATTTATAAGAGCACAAGCAGTTCAGGAACAGATAAAAACAGAATCTGTGGTAGAGGAGGGTCAGATAAGAGAACATAGATCTGTTTAAGTCAGTGGAGCTACAGTGATTTGCAGCAGGAGCTGAATCGTATTAGAGAAGAGTCAGCTATTTAAAACAACTCACAGGCATTACAGATAGCATTACACTTTGGAAAGCTATTTCCATAAAATCTAAACATTACTATACAGATGCTTCACCTGGTTTCCTGTGTTGCCTTTCTCTCCAGCAGGTCCAGGAAATCCACGTTCTCCCTAGACTCATGAAAGGGGAAAAAAAAAAAACAACAAAAAAAACCTGTTCTTTCTGGCAAAGGTGGTTCCCAAATTTTGTCTGGCAGAATCCAATCAACTTCAGATATGCAGCTCTAAACAACAGAATTTCCGTTCAGGTTTAAAGTCTATTGAAAGGCACCAAAAATGTCTATTTTTAACTCTGAGGTGTGCATCTTTAATTGCACTGTACCTATCAAGTAATGATTACCTGCTCTCCATTAGTGCCATCAAATCCACTGTCACCATGTTCACCCTGCAGCAATAAGCACATAAAAACCCTATTAGCATCAGCCCACTTGCCTCTTTGAGCAAGAGAAGAAGTGTTCACCCTGTTTTTGGAAAGCTGAATAAGAATAGTTGTTTTCAATGGCTAGCAAGAATAATAAAGAATAGTAATTATAAATAGGAATGAATGAGTCAGACTTTAATGAACTATTAACTTTCATAGGTAAAAACACTTAAGAAGAACAACGGTTAATAAAACTATAGATGTACACCAGAATTTAAGTTCTGCTTTTCAATCTGTTCATCTTCAAATCTTTTTCCCAGCTGTAGCACCTTCAAAATCTAGATATATTCCAAAATACAATTACTAGTATTTGATCTAACATGCTGATATTGTTGTAATTCTGGTGTCAACCATCACACATTTGTATCGTGCCTTTTTTTTTTTTTTTTTTTTTAAATTAACTTTATACCATGAATGGTGTATTGAAAAGCTAGAAAGAATAATCAAAACAAAAACAATTTCAAAAGACTGACTTTGGACTTTAGGACTTGTCAAAGAAACTTCATGATGGTTTCAGCAATGTCATGCTCACTACATAAATAGTGGTCACATTTCCATTCAAACACACACTGCACTTCTCTTTCCTCTGTCTGGAAGAGGAATTACCCTAGTGCAACCATTTATGACAGCCATTTTCTCACCAAACATCCATCCCGACCTCAGGGAGTCTGTAATCTTAACTTATTGTTCAGATGAAGAGTGAGGCTTCTGAACAGTTGTAACTGTAAGAATCTTATCTCATTTTTGTATGTTCCACAATGTTTCAGACCTGGCCAAATAGCACACTCAGTTTTTAAAAGATATTTTGAAGTGTTTCTTCCATCTTTCTTTACTAGGATAAAAATGAAGGAATTCATTGTGGTGGTTTTATTTGTAGTAAGAAATTAAATCAGCAGAGACAAATATCCTGAAAGCTGAAAGAACAGTCAATAAATCACTGGAGGTGGCACAAGAGCCTGTTGTAAATGCCAGTTAAACCAACAGGAGTCTAACTCTGACTGAGACTACAGATACAGTCACTTCATAAGTTTTGATGCTAAATTGACTTCGCAAAACCACCCAGTTAAAGTGTCTGAGGAAAACTTGCATCAATTTGTAACAGTTTTGTATATACTACAAGGAAAAATAGCTGACTGTACATTTCAATAAGATTAATATGTCACAAACAAGAATTTATTGAATAAGCTTTCCTGAAAATTTTTGAACATCAAGTAAGCAATCATGACTTTTAATCATGTCTTAATTTTTCCCTCATTCATTTCCTATCTCTGAAAACCTGAGCCAACCTTCATGTATTAAATATTCAGTATTGCCTTTTTTCTCCAAATAGCTGTACTAAAATGCCTTGCAGACTTCAATAAACTGCCTCATCTGCTAACTTACTAAGTTAGCAATATTGAATCACATTTTTTATTTGCTGAAAATTTCCTATTTTTAGTTAAACTAAAACTAGTGGATATAATGACACAACATAATCAAGATGCTCACATATTCATTGGATTTCAGTAGGGTTTGTGCTCCTGATAAGTCTTGCTTAATCAACTTGAACACATCAAAATCATTGGCAAGTACTCTCTCTCTTCTATAATCAGATGTTTAGAGGAGGAAAAATTACTTCAGCGAACAGAACATAAAATGGAAAAGGGAAGAAAATCATACAGAAGGATTTAAAAAGTCAGTGCACAGCAATACTTTAAATAGAGCTGAGGTATCAAAAATACTCTCTGAACTTTCCCACACGTACAGCTGCTCAGGTTTGGAGTCAAACGACTTCTGAATCTTTGAGGCTCCTAAATATTTTCTAAGAGTTGTTATGTACCAAAATACAATTTGACTTCCATTTTAATTGCTCTAGCTTTGGAACTAATATTGCCATTATAGGTCATTGTGTTCCAGGCTTCATATTTTATTAACAAATTGGTGATAATCTCTCTTTGATGAACAGGTATGTTTGAATGATTAAATAAGCAGAGCTGCAAGATCAGTGAATGACAGAGAAGTTTGGATATTGAAAAAGTGTCAATAATGACTCAGTGAAAAAGCTAGCCAAATCCTCCATAAATATTAGTCGCAATCATTTTTTTCCCTTTCTGCTCCATTTCCTCAACAATAGAAGATTCAACTCACCAAAATTACTATCTTGACAGATTACTAAAACAGCTAGAAAATAAATTCCTTTCCTGACAATTAGACTAAATCAACTATGACGGTAACCATGCTAAAAACACAGTACAAGTGAGATTGCTGCTTTTAAAAAATGTGATACCTAAGAGCTCACTTAAATCTATTCTTATACAACCATAGCAGAAGAACATTAAACACTCTGAAGTTTGTACAGTCTTTTTCTTCTTTGTTGCTATTTTCATTTTTACAAGGTAACATGAAAATTGCTTACACATGAAATCACATACCTGACTTCCTCTATAGCCTCTGCCCCCCTGAAATTGAAAATAAACATAGATGAAATTTAGTTGAAGTATTTTGATTGAGCTTGAGAAGCAGGAGACCTTGTTGCGCAGAGGCAAGCTGGGCATGGTATTTGTAGTCCCTACTGTAAAAGCCCCTACTGCCACATATGAGACTGACCCCTTTCCTGTGGGAAGATAGTGCAGCCTTCATTTTAATTCCTCTTCTGTAAAGCTTTATAGTTTTCTCTAAGGCCAGTCTGGAGTTGGTGGTGAAAGTCACTGGCAAGTTTCTGAGTCAGCAAAATCCTTAGCCATTTGACCACCTTTGGTTACACAAAGTAACTCTCAAGAGGTCATAGCAAAAAATGTCTACTGTTCTTACAAGCTGGGTCTTGCTGTCCATCCCTGCTTCAGGAAGACACTACAGTCATTTTTCCTCAGTACAGAAAACAGGTTTTTGGGAAATCAAAATAGGAAGTGCTTCAGAGTGACACACTTGCCTTTTTGCCTCTGACCCCTGGACATCCCCTGTCTCCTTGACTCCCATTGAAACCAGCTGGGCCTCTCTCCCCCTAAGAAACAAAAGAGAATGTTCAAATTCATCCATATAACAATGGTTACTTGTTGTCATCATATAAGATTAAAGCAAGAGAGAATTATATCACCATTCACTGCATTAAGGACACAAATGGAAGTCACATGGAAAGTTTCATACTAGCTTAAGACAATAGTTAATTACTAGTTTGGGTTGCACCTGGTTCACTGTTCTCCCTACCACACCATGTTTTACACTGTGCTACAAATCTCTGACTGAAATCTCTAAAATGGGAAGTTGGACTCTTGGTGGGTTGTTTAACTGAATATTGAATGACTTTCCTCTAGTCACTGATCTCTAAAGACTTCTATTCCACGATTCTTAGGATGGAAGTTCTAAAACCAATTGGAAAGAGAGCAGCAACTCCCAGCAGATTCCCTTAAAATTGCTGTCTAAAAAGGTAAACTATGACACACTAAATGAGAACAAACAGTAAACATGAGAGCCTCTGTACTACCATGCAAAAGAGAAGAGAAACTTGAAGAGCCTCAGATCAGAAGAACAAAGACCATTTACTTTCTTCATCTTTAAATAAGTCTCACTCTCTAAACTAGCAAAAAATCAACATGGATCACAGTGTCACAGAACCATGCCACAATATGGAGGGAAGAAAAAAAAAATAATAAAGAGAGAAGTTTAAACATTTTAGCCTGGCTGCATTGCCTATGTGAAACGTTAAGACTAATTCCTGAGATGAACACTACACCATGATAAAACAAAGTTGTCCGGCATTATCTCCACAACTTCCTTTCCTTGTGGCATCTTTCATAGTCTACTATCAGCAGTCTACTTTCTGCCCTGTATTTACTACATTCAGCTGTTTTGGGTACTTCAAATTCTTACCCCATGGCTGGAAAAATTTTTAGCCTTTAGCAAGGAAAATTTACAATATGAAAATCACATGTAGGCTTCACATGCAAGAAATGGAGTAAGTTTCTGAAAGTGTGAACATGACTTCTTTCATCCTTCCACAGTAAAGGAAAGCGAAGGGACCAGAAAATTTAGAAACAAGACTTTTGTAATTTAAGTGTTCTGGAAGATGATTCTGGATTCTCAGAAGGAAAAAAACAAATTTAATTTCATACAGAAAAACAAATTGAATACTGTTTTCAACCCTTCATTACTTCAAAAAAGACAAGATGTAGAATCTTTCAAATCAAAATGTTGTGGTGAAAAATTTGAGGCAGCCATTTAAGTATGTTAAAAATGTTTATCATATTAAAAAAAACCCAGGGCTTGAACTTTAACTCCTCCTTATGCCATGTCACTCATGTTTGCTCCTCAGTAACATATTTTAAAGTCATTCTGGAAACTGCTTATATGGAATTTTGTTTAAAAAAAAATATCTGTGGAAACCGCTCCAGTAGCTACAGCCAAAGATTTCCAAAGAAACTGTAAAACCACCACTACAATGCACTTTCTTGATAATCCCAGATGTCAACAGCTCTTTTCCACTACTGCCTTACTCTGAGTAGACAGCAGGCTTGCTCCGGGCTGCCTCACCAAAGGCAAATTCAGGCTGACCAATCTACTGTGAGAACTTGAACTACTCTAGTGTGAATTTTACAGAGAGAAATCCTTGGCTGGTTCTTGGTTTGCAGGCTTCTTACCTGTGTTTAGGAGTAATATTCATGTCATTAGGTGCAGTGTTATAAACCCAGTCCTATGCTTATGGTGCTAAGGAAATGATGTGTTATTCTCTGCAGGATTTTTGTTTGTTTCTAGATAGCAAAACAGAAAGAAATACTCCTAGTGGGCTGGGCTTTGGCTTACGCACATTATGTTAAAGTTTGTGTCAGGAACAGAACACAAAAGTCTTTGCTATCCAGTTAAAAGGTAGTCACTGGTGCTAAGAACAGAAGGGATGGCTTTTTCAAGAACTATCTGCACAGAATCTGGTACAGACAGTCATAAAAAATGAATATACAATTTAGCCACAAATATGCCATATAATATGCTGCTGTGTGATTCTTTCTAATTGACTCTGTTTCTGCATCAGAAGTTAACTAGGAAGTATGGTAAGAAGCAAATGGAAAGACAATCAAGCCTGTATATTTGCCTTTAGAGACACATTGCTACACACATTTTAGGTTAACATTGATGAGCACTGTGAAAAGTAAATACAGACAGGTTCAGGCACCAACCAACATCACATAGGCAGGAAGGAACAATGTTTACTTACAATCCAACCTTCCTCACCAGGATGGCCAGGAGATCCTCTGTAACCTGTACTTCCCTAAAAAACAAGAACTCAAGAGTTAAGTAATGCTGTTCTCCAAGCACATTGGGTTCATTTCTATCAGATTACTCAGCATCTAGAAATATAAAGCATTTCCCGAAAATTAGATCTGGTTATACTGAAGAGGGTAGGCTCCATCAAACTACATCTACACAGACACTCTGCACAGTCCTATGTGCTTCACGTGGCTGTGGAAAAAAAACAACACAACAATACAAAATTGTTCAATATAAAATGTCAGCATGTTATGTCAGGAAACTGTCTGGTGGCTTATTTGGTCAAAGTAAACCTCTTCCTTAGTGATTTGGAAAATAAACTATTATACACTAATGAAATTCTAAGGTGAAATGAAAAATAAGAGAAGCTGAAAACTTGTTAGGATAAAGATACTGCAATAATACCTTACAAAGGCTTTCAGGAACATTGCAACTTTGTATTTAAAGTGATGCGAACCTCACATCCCCAAGGCAAAAACCTGAAGTGAGAGAAACTAGAAAAAACGGGAGTGTCTAGGAATTAAAATGCACAAAAACAAGACATGAATTTGTGCTGCAAAAACATGTTTTTACAATTGTAGGCTGTACAAACCAAGCATCATGTCTGTCTGCTAAACAACTATGTCTATATTCCAGACACTGTTCTGTCAAAGCACATTAATCTAGAGATTCTAATAAAGAAGAAAGGTGTAAGAAAATCAACAAGAGTAATGGAAGAAATCAGTACATTTAAAAAGTCTATACTTCCGCTAAGGTATAAAAAAATATATTTAACTGCAACCACATAACTGAAGCACATGAACTACAGATATATTTTACTTAGTCTGTTACCGGAATACACAGAAATAATGGAATGAATAGTAGTTAAATGGAGAAAACATACACTAAAAACCTTAATAATGAAGTCTACCAGCATGCTGTAGAAATCGTGATATCTGTAATACTCAAAAGGCTTAAAACAGACAATGTAAATTCTTAACTGAAATAATGCAAATTAGTACTGTATTGGATCAGAAGAAACTTATAGAAGAGGGTATTTGGAATAACCAGAAGCACAAAAGGATAAGGTTCACACCTAGTGAAAGAGAATTATTTTCTAGTCTCAATTCGTTGGCTCAATCTCATCCGCAATAGTTAATAAGCCTCTTGGTTAATGAGACTTAATTTTTAAATCCCTCTCAATTTTCTGCTCAGCTAGTGAAGGAGAGTGCTTAATGATTTTTATATGTGTGAATTATTGACATTACAAAAATACTTTTGCAGTAGGAACACACAGCAGAGAAATTATCACATTTCATGTTTCTCCTTCATGCATCCTAACAGCAAAGGCCATGGGCACATGCATGCATGCTCTGAAAATAAAAACACTTTCTTAATTCTTAAGTCACGTCTATCTTAGCACTCCTACTTTTGTCCCAGGACTTCCTTGGCCACCACGATCACCATTTTCTCCAAGGCATTTACAAAAAACGTTGCAGCATTTCCTTTCTGCAACAGTATCCTGAAAAATTACAAGAAATATTTCATTTATGTCTATTAAACATAAAACAAAAACTGATTCCCCCCCCTTTTGTTTATATCACAGAAGGACTTACAAGGTTTCTCTGCAAGACACCAGCAATATCTGCAAAGCCAACACTCAGAGGTTCATTATAGCCAAATCCTCTGCCAAACTCTATTTCCCGAAGTTCAGTCAAGTTTTGTGCATTGTCCAGGCCAATTAATAGAAGTGCATCAAGACCTTCAACATAAACATCAATTTAAATTAGTGAATGCCTGAACTATATTATTTAACTAATAATATAATTGTGAGTAACAGCAGGTATGACTTCAACATAGCATCTTAAAAAAATATCAAGCTCTTGAGAACATTGTATAAAAGAAAAATCCAGATCAGTAATTCCCCAATTAACTTCTTTCCTCAGTTGTCAGACCAGATTGCTACTCAGTGCCCAAACAGAAGGGTAAAACTGTTTTCTCCTGCAGAAGTCAGAGTTGGGTCTAACTTCTGGCACTGAACTCATCAGTGAGAGGGGCTGCCCTGAATCACCCCAGCTGCTGGAGCTGGACTGCAGAAACTAGAATCATCCCAGGCCCTCTGCAACCCTAAACATGCTTCTGGTCCCGTCTGCCAACAAGTGACAAACCATCATGAGCAACAGTTTACATGGAGAAGTGAACATTCTCTCAGTGACTCCTAAGAAATGCCATATGAGCACAGAGAGGTAATGTTATGTGGAAAAGTTGCAGTGAGGGAGTAATACATTGGGCCATTGGTAGAAAGAGGCTGAAGCATCAATGAGTTACTATAATACCTTTAAAGCGAAGGGAGTCAACTGCTCTTCTGAGATCTTCCAGTGAATCATCCAGGCCATCTGAAAATACTAACAGAACCTGTCAAGAAAGGGAGTAACACCAAGTCAGTGGAGAAGACACTGAAAGTTGAGTCATTGTAAAAAGTACAGTTTGCATTGAAAACAGGGTACAAGGTGGCCAAATCGCACTACAGTGTGGTAGATCTGAAACATGGGCTGGAAAAAATGCTGAGGAGCAAGGAGAACAGAACACAAAAGCCTCTCTTCCCTGACAGCACTCCCATTTGAGAGATTTGTTTTGCTCAGCTCGTAGCATTTAATTAACATTGCTATTAATTATACCTCTCATCTTCTCAGTATGCTAGGTGGATGGTCAATTCTGCTGTGACTTATCCACTGAAGAGCTTTCTTTGATGTCAGAAGAGTTCTATATGTGAAGGTGGAGAAGAACTCAGAGCAAACAAAAACTTCCCTCTCTGCAAGAGTAGCTCCAGTTGGCTGTCATCTCAACCACACCAGGAAGGGCATCCTCTGGATCCAATCCTCCCTCCTCACAGATGCTTATGCCCCCTTGCCCCTTCCACATACGCAGTGCACCACCCTGTTCCACCCTCTACCATAACTTTCCTCGTTAAGACGTAGGCTTAGCTCACATAAGGATGCTAACCCTGACCCTTTGTACAGGCTGCATTCCCACCTTTTCAGACCAAAGAGCTACAGTTAAGCTCCTTTCAGGGCTGAAGAAAGCACAGTTTCTTACAGCTCCCCTCCAAGCTACCAGTCTCTTCCCATTTCTCTCCTCACCTTCCTTCCAAGAAGTGTAAGTCCTCTCAGGCCCCACTCACACAGTGGATTAGATTTCCCAGAAAGGGGCTGCACAAATAAACTGTTGGCTGCACCCAACAGTAATGGCTTCAAGTTCTTTTAAACTCTATGACCAACGAGTGGCCAACCACAGCTACAGCTCCTTCCCTCACACTCTTCTTTTACATCCTCTACACAACGCGCAGCTTCAACCAAGGTGAACTCTAGAGAATTACTTCTGTTAAGTCAAATATTTCAACAGGTGATAGAGGCAAATAAAGTGACTGCCACACCAAATACCCCATTTCTGTGCTAAAGGAGCAATGAGACCAGAATTTAAGAGCAGGCAGAATTAACTGGTTTCAGTGGTGGAAAGTTCCCAGAAAAGCAGTATGGAGGCACTAGCACTGATTCTACATTTGCTCAAGCAGAGTGTGATACAGTGGAGAGTTGGACCATGGATGGATAAACACATCACAGACTGTTAGAAACAACACTACAAGCCTGGGCTTGGTGGTGTGTGATCTTTTAAGTTTAAAAACATGTGGGAATAGGAGAAATGTGGAGTGCTAGTGTGGGCTTTATCTACATTTACAAAGCTTTCATTTATATGGAGCTCTTGCTGGAACACATCTGAGTTTTGCTTTGTCAAAAATGTTGGAATCAGGTCCAACTCTTTTGCTGTAAAACAGAGAAACAATAAATCACTACCCCGATGAGGTTTATAACTAATAATCTTTACAGAACAAGCATGTTTTTCCTCAGGATCCTAGGGAGATTAAATTGGATTTTATGTGCATTCTAAAGTCTTGTATTTTCAATGTGCACCTAAGCAGTATCAGAAAGGAATATTAATCCACTGGTAAAGTGCTGAGATAGGCAGCATATTTATTTCTAGTAATAATGCATAAACAGAAAGAAGCCTTGCTAAACTATCATCTTCAACAAGGTTCTAAAAGAATTGACTATTAGGAGAAAAAAATGTGTTGCTTTTACTTCTATGCCACACAAGTTCTCCAAAAGCAACAAAATCATATGTGGTCATGTTTCCTGTTCAGAATTAAACTAAATTTTAAGAAATCTTGGGGAAAATCATAGTATTAAATATGCACCAAATTGCAACTTAAATTGGTAAGCCATACCTATGCAAATGCTGTAAAAAAAAGAAACAACAACACTCTAGAAAGTCAATTTTCTTCTGAAGCAGGGAATTTGTAACAATATGACTTTCTCACTCTATATTCAATTAAAATTAACATTTTATAAAGTAAGGCTCACAGAGGAAATCCCTTATGTGTTTTGCAAGGACTACCCTGTCCTTTCTCAG